GGAAGGGAAGGGAAGGGAAGGGAAGGGAAGGGAAGGGAAGGGAAGGGAAGGGAAGGGGTGAAATGATTTGGTTCTTTAATGGCAGCAGAAAAAAGTTTTGTACCACATGTAGCAACATCCATCTCTTCCCCCACCTCCACATCAACCAGAATATTGAATCATTCTATCATATTTTGGATCTGGGGGTGAACAGAAATGTGGGGGCCTCAAATCAGGAGGACCAGGTGCCCAAAGCTATTTCAAAAGGACGAATGCAAGCCAAACGAGACGGCCACCCTAAGGACAGATCCCTCACGAATCTGCTCCTGAACGAACCTTCGGAAGATAGCTAAGGTAGACTGCCTGTTCTTCCAGAGGTTCTATTTTGAGGCATGGTGGCCTCACTTCCTTACTGACTACCCTGTTGTGGAATTGCGGAGTAATCTATAGGGATCATGTCTCTAATCCTGCAACAATAAGTTCTACAGACAAAGAAACGTGTTATTAAGACGCCTGCCCTAAATCCTTCTGCTTATAAATTCCACAAACGGTATTTTTACTCACCGGTAAGGCTGTTCCCCTGTGTGTGTTCGGAGATGTCTTGTCAGATTTGCTGAACGCGGAAAGATCTTACCACAGTATCTAGAAGGCAAAAAGAAATAAATCTGTTTCTTGCCCCTGTGATTCCACGAGGGTCAGAAAAGTCTCCCTGTCTCTGGGCTCCCCTGTCCAGTTCCTCTAAATGCTAGGATGTTTTTTGTAACATTCAAGATTAGGGTTCAGACTTTGGTTTTGTAAAGAGCTACCTGCCGGCATCTCGGTTATCAATGCAACAAACATTGGTTCACAAGAAATCTGTTTGCAAAAACAAAAAACAGGGAAAAATATAATCCTAATGCCTTGGGGAATACATTAGCTCCAACTGGGAAATAAATGGTTCAGTTGCTGAAATTCTGGTAACATCTCCCTTTCGTTTCAACAATCTCGTTAAAGAAGACTTGGGGAGACTCTTGCTTGGAAGAATCATGTTCAACTGAGACAGTTGCCAGGAGTCTGTTATTCCCCTAATTATTGAGTGGAGAAATCCAGAAATTATGTCTAATTTCAAATCACGTCCATAGGAAGCCACAAGGTGGTTTGATTTGGGCACCAGCGTCCTATTGCCACTGTCTTTGGACCTGCACGGTTGCCCCCCCAAAAAGAAGGGGATCTTGGTTGACTTTTCCAGCTGGCATGATGGGAATGGGGGCGAACAAGCAAGGAGAATGAGAGGCACTCTCCCTTCAGCCTTGCCCCCAATGTCTGTCCCTGTTATGGGCTGGCACCTGCCCCCCTTTTTACCTGCAGGTGTAACGTTCTTTGCCCTTGCGCAAAATGGGATCCGATAAGGTTGGGGGGGGCGACCGGAAGTTGAAAGGATGGTGAGGGAGGGGTGGCAAGGAAGCCCCCCCGGCGTCCGTCTTCATGGCAGCAAAACTCTCCAGTTTCTCCGTCATGGTTTCTATTGCTGACATCTAATGCCAAAAGGGAGAAAAGAGAAACAAAATCAGCCTTTGGGGAAGTTTTGTAAGGCAGGGCAATCTTTGGGTGGTTGGGGGGGACATCCGCCCCCAACCCACTTCTTTTCAACCAGCCACATGCCTTTCCAACTCAACTCTGCCACCTTGATTGTCCCCTGTCAGTCTTCCTGCTTTCCTGACCTTGTGGGTGTTGTACTTAAGGCACCTTTTTTTAATTAAAAAAAAAAAAGATAAGTAAAATAGCTCGCCCACTTTTGTTTTTTTTCTTCTGGAAAATGTACACCGACCTGCTACATTTTGGTGGCAAGATCTGGACATTTGGGGGCAAAAAAGGGCTTGAAGGGAATCACACGCAGTTTCACAGAAGCATGTGGGAGAGACTTTCGAAATCATCCAGTCCAGCCCCTATTCTGATGATCATCCAGCCTGAAGGAGAGGCCCCAGTCTCCCCAGGCCACCTCTTTGGTTGCAGAAGCAACTTTGCCAAAATTATAACTTTTGACAAGGAGCATTGCTAAGGGGCTGGAGCTAAACTTTGCAGAGGTCTCTTGCCATGCTTTTGAACCTTCATTTAAACCGTGATGTTCTCCCATTCTGCCAAGCCATGGCTTGTTCACTCATAAGCCACAATTAGGTGGCTTTTCACTGTACCCAGGAAAACCTGGTCTCGGGGCCCAGAGAGGCATTTTAAAAAGAAACAGGAGAAATCAATACGCCGCACTAGCGAACAGGTCTTCCAAACGGCAGTAGCCGATATGCTAAGTCAGAGGCCCACAAATGATATTATAAGCCAGATTTGCACATTGGCAGTTTCAAATGAAAAGGAAAGATGGATCCTGCAAACACAAACGTTATTGGCGCACGTGACATCCTTCCCACAAGATGCCATGTGGGAAACACTGGACTTTTCTTAAACTTGTTGAGCACGCAATGTACAATCTCCGATGTGCAGATAGAGAACTATCG